TTGCACTCGGATCGAACTTTGTTTAAGAGTTCGATGAGGTGGCAGGCTGACTCAGAGCCACGGCTCTCCAGTATTTATTGGAAGCTTTGGAGCTCTGTGACGAAAAGGAGAATTTCCTCATGATCACATAAACTGTTGTTCCGTCAATCACTGTTATGATGCTCTGTGTCAAATGTGGAATTGACATTTAGTCAAAACAATTCAGATCACATATTTATTCTTTGTATTTATGATAAATTTGTTTTCAGAGAGTCATTCTCATTCACTGCTTGACCTTGTTTGCTGAGGGATTTCATTTTTACAATATTGTCCACTCATTCAGTTCAGCACACTTTAGTTTAGGCCGGCAAGTCAATTATTACCTTCAATTATTACCTCTTGGTTTACTTAAGACCTATATGGCAAGAACAGAGTTTTTTTTTTCCCAGACCTGCAAAAAACGAAAAAGCTCAGAGGTTCCTTGTTCTTGACACATTTTTGGCAGAATGTTTTTAAATCTCCAGATGCAATGGAAACAAAAAGATAATGTAGACAGAGAATAAAAGTAACCAGAGAAAGCAGTCTTGTACATATTATTTGATTACTTAGATTTATAAAGACCAAAAATCTTTTCTAAATAATACAATTTGAAACAATTCAGCGTCGTTCTCTAAAGTTTCACCCACTTTTTATTTTTTATTTTACAACCCACCTATGCCATGGATTTATTTTAAGCATCACTCTTCAGTCTTTTCATAGAAACAGAATTGTCTCTTTTGTCAAGCTTAGATGTTGAATTAGATAACCTTTTTCCAATATGTCATGCTCCTTTTCAATATTTGCTAAGGGGGTCCATTTTCTTGAGATTGATCATAAGATAAAGTTTTGTTGGATTTTAGAACTGCATGCATGTATCTGAGCCAAGGTAAGAACTTTAGATAAAATAAGGCAATTTATTTGCAAGGGCAGGGAATTATTGCCTATTCTGTTCTTTCCAGTCACTAAATCTCAAGGTACAGCTAAAGAGAAGTGTTTGAGAATCGTAACAATAGAGCCTCAACAGGGACATTAATATGTTCAGTGTGGGCTGGACTGGAAATCTACAGCTTTTGTTGCAGTCAACTTTACTTCAATGAAAAACATTATAAATAGGAGACTTGTGAAACATAGGTCATTTGGTAAATTTTAATTATGCTCTCAATAGTGACATGAATCAGTGGATAGTTATTGCCCAGTTTCAGTGACATTGTTCTATATTACCACTTTCTGATTCCTGGAGACTTTTATTTGCAGCCTGTTTGTGTAGCAATTTAGCAGGAGAGCTGTAACCTTGGGACTTAGAGTGACGAAATATGTTTAGGAACCCTAAGTGGAAACTTCATTTGATCAAAGTTTAAAAGAAAATGTCAAAAGAATCAGGAAAAACATGTCCCTGAAATGTGTGCTCTGGATTGTCTGGATGGTCATTTTTCAGTTTGTGGTGATAGACAGACACTGACACTGCGCAGTGAGCTGCTCATCTTTGAACACCAAACATTGCCTTCACTTCATGTGTATAAAAAAAATAATAATAGAAGTTCCATCAAATATTCTGACTTCAACTATGATTATTCAAGGTTTGTTTGTGTCATCATAATTTCAATTTCTTTCTTCAGAGTTTTTGAAGAAAGGATTATTTTGTCATTGTCATGATTTGAAAAAGGGAGTCCATGTCAACTTTAAAGTCCTGACATGCTCTAGGATTTCATCTGTCAGAAGAACAATTTTTTTTATTAACTTCACAGCATTCAGAATAAACATGGTGCAGAAAAATTACAATTACTTTCACAAGTAACATTGTGCATGAATTCCAATATAGTTGTTAAATTTGATACACACAGAACTGTGAAAAAAATATTTCCTACTTTTCTGTTTTTGCTTTTGTCACTTTGATGGCCTCTTCTGTGTGGCAATGTGGCCGGTTTCTCAATTCAGGTCCTTGATTATGGGAGGTGCCTCTGATTACGTGGCCTCATGGCCACATAATGCAGACTGGAGATGAGAATTTGATTTAGAAAAAGTTAATAATGGTCCCAACCAACCTGGTCTTATATAACACCTGGATATTGCAGAATTTCAGAATTAATGGTTGTAGTAATTAAGCAACAGCCCATCACACTGCCACTTCCATGTTTGATTGTTGGTAGGGAAGCTGAGGGTCTCTTTCTGACATGCTGTCACCATTTTATGCCAAAGATAACAAGATGCACATCTTCTAAAAAAGTTATTTTGTCTTATGTGCAGCTGCATAGAACATTTTCCCAAAGAAGTTTGGTTATCCTCAGTTTTTTTCTTTTTTTCTTTTCTGGAAAATGTGAGATAAGCCTTTATGTTCTTTTCTCAGCAGTGATCTTTGTCTTGGGACTCTCCAGTTGATGCAATTTTTCACTGTCTCTTTCTTATTGTAGGATCATGAACACTGACCTTACCTGAGGCAAAGTGAACCTTGGATTGTGAAATATGTTGATCACGTGGAATATTTTGTTGGACACCAACTAATTATTCAAATGTATGTTTTATACATATTAAGAAATATTAATTATATGTCTTCAAATTTTAAATGTGGTTTCTAATGTAGTATATTTTAATACAAACTTATACATTAAGAATATTCCTCATTAATGAGATTCATAAAAAAATAAAATAAAAGAAGAATAAAAACACACTGAATTCTTACCACTGAAGCCTAATATTCACAGTAGTATTTATATTTAGTAGCATTTTTCCACTTTTTGGCCATTCTGTGCATTATGTAAGATACTGACATTAGTTGTTTGAATGGTTGGATTATTTTCTTAGGTAGCCATTATGCAATTTACTGTGGAACAGACATGATGCTTGTAGTAAAGCTCCGACAAGTCTTTAAAAGGCTGTGAGTTGTTTTTTGATGAGCTCTCATTTTGAATAGCACATGTGCTTTGGGATCAAGGGTGTGGAGTGCAGCTACAGAAAAGGACATGTAGCTTTCGTACTTGTGACATCATTATAAAGCTGTTGCAATTAATTATTTTTTTAACAGAAAATCTGTGCCAGTCTTTTAATGGATGGTGTAGCAAGGTAGTCCTTCTGCACCCACATGCATTTTTAAATATGTGCTGAAGCACAAGAGTTCTGATTCATTTTTTTTAGCCAGAATCAAATTTTTGTGATGTCCATAAGTTGTTCTTGTTTGTTTCACACTTACAGCCACTCAGCTGCTGCAGCTGTAAATGAAGGACTTCAAAAATAATCCAGATGAGCCTTTTTTCTTAGAATATAGATAAAAAAATCTTTTCAAGGTTTTTATATAGGGAAGTATGGATCTCTTGTTATCCTCTTGATTTTAAAAAAGTAAGGAAAAAAAATAGATTCTTAAAACAAACCTAAAGACAAACAAATCAGACCGGTGCTTATTTCCAGGGGATTATGTTTTGTGGGCAGTTGCCAGTTTTCCAGACTGGTTGAAAAAAAACAAAAAAAAAAAAACAAACAACAACAAAAAAAAACATCACAGAATAGAATACACAAGACTGCACTGCCAAAGACCTTGAAATGTGGTCTCTGAAAAGTTTGAATTTCCACAATCATGAAACTTTGAAAAGATTTCATGGAAGTTGTTCAAAAAGGAAGAGTGACAGAAGAAAATCCATGAAGGTTAGAATGTGCAGAGCTTCAGGGTGATCCAGTTCAACCTGGAGTAGCTGCCTGAGCCTTTGCTGTACAACACAACCTGGAAGAAGAGGTTATCCAAAGGCAAGACAAAATAAAAATACTGAAGGAAGTAGAAAAACATCTGGACGTAACATGTCAAGCATAAAATATGTCACTTTATGGAAATAAACGAAATGATAAGCTTGTAAGGATATCAGGACAGAAATCCTTCATCAGGGTTTAGGATATCAGAACAGCACTTTTACAGATTTGCAAAAGAAAATGTCATGTGTATCTTTCCACTTATTTCATGGATATAAAGAAAATAGCTCATTTGTTACCAATAAAAATGGTAACAAATACATGCACAAATTGCACCTTTTCCCTATGTTTATTTCCTCTGAAGTTTATATTTTGATATGTTTTGTCTGAATGCTGTTAATACTTGGAAACCAAGGCTTAATTCCTTATTTGCGAATGCAATCCTGGCTAGTAAAGCTGACTGTAATTCTGATTGTTTGTGTTAATTGATCGAATAACGTCCCCATAAGGTACTTTGAACATGATGGTATGCAGACTTCTTCAAAGTATGTCACGGCAAATCACTCCAGATCTCCAAATCTCTAACTTTGTCTTAGCTTTTAGGATTTATGGAGAAACTATTGTCCAATGATGTCCTGAATGTCTTTGTGGTGCACTGATAATATTTGATATGCATTGAAACAATTTGCATTACTTCTGTTTAATTAATTACAATAGGTTTTGATGTCTATCATGTGATTTTGTTTGACTTTATGAAGATTTTTGTCTTGAGTAATGACCATTGCATATATTACATTTATATTACATTGAGTGTGAGCATTTAGTTGTTGAAAACAAATGTTTTTTTTTTTTTTTATCAAATGATTAATGCATAATTATTCCCCTGATCTGATTTTTATGTGTTCTACAAACACCAGGTATTTTATTATCTGTACACATTTACAAATGAGCAAATTACATTGTTTGAAAATTAAATACTTCATTAGGCTTGAATTCATAATTGCATTTGATACACAAATGTGCTAATGTGTGAGAAAATCCTAAAATGTGCCAAAACAGTACATACCTTAAACTGTAATGCAATGAAATCAATGAACTTGGCTTGTTATCTCTGAATGTGTAATGCGAGGTATTGCTCTCACTGGTGTAATCATAATTTAAACATTGCTTCAGTGAAAATCATGTGGGGCAGAAGCCTGGAAGTCATCCTTTATTAAGCCAAGCATTTCGACTAAAATATTAAAGAAATTTTGCTCCAATAGATCATTAAGTATTTTATATGACAGTTCCTCGTTCTTATCTTTTAACAGCTGCACTCTGATGTGGATAAAGGAGACGGCAAGGTGAAGTACGTGTTGTCTGGTGAGGGGGCCACCTCTATCTTCACTATCGATGAGAACACTGGAGACATCCATGCCACGAAACGCCTCGATCGGGAGGCCCAGGCTTACTACACTCTGCAAGCTCAAGCCATTGACCGGATAACCAACTTACCTGTCGAGCCAAGGTCTGAGTTTGTGGTCAAGGTGCAGGACATCAATGACAATGAACCAAAGTTCCTGGATGGGCCGTACTTGGCAGGGGTGCCAGAGATGTCACCTTTAGGTAAGCCTCCCTTTTTTATTGTAAACATGATCGGATGAGTTTCTCTTTCAACTCTCGGATCACTTTCTCTTTGACTTGCCCTCACTCTAACGTCTCCGTTTGATAATTTTCCACCTCGCTGAATCCGTCTTCCTAGTTCTGCCTCTAGGTCATCAGGTGGGTTGGGACGTGTCCTGTGTTAATATGAGTCCAACACTTTGCAAGGCTGAAAATTGTGCTCATCAAATTTGACTTACAGGAAATGTTGCTTGTTCATGAGCTCTGTGTAAATCAAGGTTAAGGTTAATCTTTTACTCATTTGTGTTTCTCATGGTCAGACATTAAACCTGCAAATATGTTAACAAATAGGAAGTGAGGCTTTCTTCTGTTCAAGGTTTACTGGGATTTGATAAAAAATAAACTTATGTGAAAAATGGTAAGAGTGACGCCTGAAGCTAAGCACTCAATGAAAAGGCCACCTAATGGACTATTGAAGGACTCCAGAAAAGTTCATTCTTGCTTTGACCCATGTCTGTGAAAGGTTCCAGCTGGCTCAGTTTTTAATATAAGACAACATTATATTTTATGAAAATGGTGTCGCAACACTGCTTAAAACAATAAAACAGTCACAGAAAATCTTCTCACTTCAACATATTGACCTACTTTATTGTGTTTTTTTTTATTTATTTCTGAAACAGCTTCCTTTTTTAATCTATTAGCATGAGAAAATAATCAGATAGCTGTCAATATGGCGTAGCTACAAGGGATTATTGCACGTCGCCAAACATGCTTAAAACATTTTTGCTCTTTTTTGTTTGGCAGTTGATGTGAACCATGTTATTTTTCAGAGTTATGACAGTTTGTTCTGAAAGTAAATTGAATTTTGAAAACACAAGCAGTGACAAATGTATTTTGCACAGTAATACTACATTTTATATTTTTATTTGATTTTTGATGTGTCGCATAAGTTATTTTGCCATATGGCTGAATTTATTCTGTGATAAAATCCACTGGAGAATTTTTGAGAAACTAAAGCATCTTAATCTTATTATGCTAGCTTGATCGACTTCTTATTATCTGGGGTTGCCATTATATTTTTCCTTAAAATAATGGATAGGAGCCTATTTTTCCCAGTATTCTGTTCATTTGTTAGGAAAGGCAGGTAAAATGCCTGTGGTGGCTTGACTAGACAGCTGCATTATTGTACAATGAAGTGTAGCAGGATGGTAACATCTTTGCAGAGTTGCACAACCCCAGACAATATGTCATATTAAAGCTTATTCAATAAGAATGTAGGTGTTTTTGGAGATGGTTGGCCAAAAATCTCCCAAATATTGGCTGTCTGACTGCAAGAAATGCACACAAATGTGATCAAGAACATGTAAAGAGTTTCATTGTTGTTTTTGTTTTCTTGTGAGAAGTTTGTTTTTCATAATCAAAATTGCAAAGATTAAAATCTTCGAATATTAAGTGTATTTTCCTCAGTTTTGTATCTCCTAATGCCTTATGTTTACCACAATACCCATTTGTACAACAAAATCTGCCTTGTGTACTTGAAGGTTTGTTAAATAGACCAAAAACAAATGGTTAAAACATTATTTATACAAAGGGAAATCTCTCTTGACATTATGTGAGTCTCCTCCAGGCGTATTGAGTTGTTTGCAGATTCAGAGTGATGCACACCCTAAACCATATCACCATCTCAGGATGACATCACTAAGCATAAAAGAGCTTAAATTTATGAATGCCATCCAACTCCTAACCTGTCCCATGTCATAACACTATGCTCATTACAGGTGCATTTAGTATTGCTCTGAAACCAGTCCTGAAGGAACTCCTACCGAATTAATTCATGGTCAAAATTTCTTCCTCAGATCCGAATTAGTCCCTACTAACTTGTTGAAATTGTGAAAACATGGAAATGAGTTAGAATAACAACCCAAGGGCTTTTAGCTGAACAGGTGGTTGAAGAACAGAACATAGTCTGCCTTGTGTTTTCTTTTTAATCTGAACATATTGTAACCAGTTTGGCAAAGCTAATTTAAATTTTTAAGTTCATTTTTAAGGGAAGTGTGTCCCAAGGGATAGAGAATCACTTGCTAAACTGCCTTTGTGTTTTCTTACTTTTAACCTAAATAACTAACCACAAAAATCAATGCAGTAAAGAGCTATGCAAAGTAATGATTGAAATATATTTACAAAGCTTGAAACATTGAGACACAGAAGCAAACAAATTTTTGATTCTTTCTGCTTTTTTTTTAAATATGAGTCAAACCACTCTATAGTGATGTGAAGCCCGATGAGTAGCAATTTACATATTTATTGCTTTAAATATGCCAGCACACACCTCTGGGCTTTGAAATGTTGATGAGTGACACATGTTTGAAAACTAACTTAAGGTCTAAATCCATCCCAACGCCCATGGGCATTTTTTTTCCTCTACAAATTGGTGTTCATATTAGCTGAAGCTTTCGAGTCCCTGCCTGCTGAAAATGTCAAATTCTAATGAAAACATTTCTATCCATCCATTCACTTCCCTCTTCACCATGACAACAAGGTAGGCAAAAGCATTTTGACATCCTCGACTTCCGCCAGATTCTCGTGGGGGATTCCTGAGGTGATCCAAGGGATGCTGCGACCTGTGGTCTCATCACGAGTGAGATATAGGCAAAAATCTAGTGATTAGAGCTGTGAAAAAAACCCAAAAAAACTCTTTATTTGCAACTATTAGCTGCAAATTTAAAATAAGTATTTAATTAAAATTACAAATCAGCAAACAAAGTCAGATTCCTAATACTTGTGGTCTTCTAGAAAGGGAATCAGGATTTATATATATATTTTTATCTTAAACAAAAGTCTAAATTAATGTTGTGTACTTCTTAGTTGGAAAGTATAAAAGGGTTTTTGAAATCTTTGTACACTATAAATTCCATTGCCGAAACTTGTTATTCAACACAAAATAAATTGCATTTAAGCAGAAAAGAAAAATATTTTTACTACAGTAAACACTGTACAGCAGTGAGTGGAGCCAGTGAATTGACACAAGGAGCAGGCAGGGGCACAGAGAGCTGCCGGGACTTTTTCATCCTGGATGACCCACTTTTCACACAAAGCTTTTGTTGACAAGATCAAGTCTTTGGGAGAATGTTTTTTTTTTTTTTTTAAGGATGAGTTGTATCATTTGTATTCTGATTGGAAGTTGGAAATCATCCAGTTTTCTCAGAAGTATGATAAACTCAAAGATGTCTTAACCTTGATACAAAGGTGGGCAGTGTGAATGCTGTGAATAAAATCAACTTAACCAGTGCAAAGAGGTAAAGCAGCATAGAGTGCAAACATGCTTTTTTGTATTTCATTGCACTCTTTATTGTTTTTTTCTCCAAATTCTCTGAAACCATCGCATAATAATTCACAGCCTACAAACTGCAAAAAAATAAATAAATAAAAATTTTTATGTTTAAGATGTTTTCCAAGAAAATAGTAAGAGGCACATTTTGGTTTGATGACATTGGTGAAACTCCATCAGAGGTGTAAGTGCTTGTGGTTAAGTGGTTACTGGGAGGAATGTGGGTGAGTGAGATCTGCCCACAGAGCGAAGCGAGAGGAAGAGATGACAGCTTGAGATTTTGGTAAAAAGTAAAAGGTGAGAGGGCGACTTTTTCACTTTGCTTACAAACCGACATCTCACTCTTTAAAAATGTTGCTCTGAGGAAGATGAAAAAAATAAAACTTTTTACCTGTCTGAAACTGTGGGTCGCATCCAGTTGGTGAGTGTACAGTTTAAGTCAAGTGTAAACAAATTCACAGATGGACGAATGTATTGATCGATCCTCTTAACATGAGCAGGAAACATTTTGGAAATCAAATGTGAAGTAATGAACTCACAATCTAAAATAAAGCCAACACTTGGACAGGCATCAAATTTAACTTGGATGGAGATGGAGGATTTCAGTTTGAGTTTGTTTATTATTTGTATTTTTGAAGAATACTGCAACCACTGCAAATGTTTTCTAACTGTTAAATGCAGCCAATAACTGTAAGAACCACAGGCTTGTGAACAGCGGAAATTGTAAGAGATTTCAGTTTATGCATTGAGAATTTCTGCTACTATGATTAATGTCTTAGTTTTTAGAAGATCTGTTTGTTTTACCTCACATCCAAAAGTAATGAGACTTGAATTATTGCCACGCTGTTGTTGCTCTTTATGGTATTTCTGTCTTTGACATGCTCGTATTGGTAAATAAATTATCTACATTAAAGAATAAGGAAGAACTCATGACTTCTGATGAATTATTAATATCTTATTCCATTCTGTGCTGTAGGATGAATTAGTTGATGTTAACCGACTTTTTTCCCATTGCAATTAACAGAGCACATCATGTAGAAAATTAACAAATTATTTTTTTTTTATTAAAAATGTCTAAGCTGAATGGAGTTGTGTTGATAGCTGTGACTGAATCGCTTTACCACGTGAAGTGCATGAACGGAGTTAAAGCCATCTTTGCCTCAGCGCCTCACACAGACAGCAGCATCCAGGTATAAGTCAGTGATAACAAAGGAGCTGAGGCATTTTTAGAACCTTCAAAGTCAAAATGAGTATTTAACCAGGCATACAGTGACACCAGGAAGCCTTCCAAAGGAAACAGCGCTTTGCTTACAGCACAGGCGCGGAGATCTCTAAAGGATTACACAGCTGACTGTCAACGGGAGGTACAGAGCTCAGGCTTAAAGAACCAGAGGATTAGAGTACAAGGGCTCCTAGTCTCGTGTCCAACCCGAGATAAGACGGAAAGTCGGTGTGCGAACTACAGAGGGGGGCACGTTTACACCCTCGAGTGCTGAAAAACGGGGTGACCTGAGCCACTTTATTTACTCTGCCACCTCCTGTGAAAGTCTTCAGTGCAAGTTGTGCAGCCAACAGGAGAATAATGCATCACCTCTCTTTGTAAATATCTGCCCAGAGCAATCACCAATGCGATAAAGAAAAGGGAAGGGCCAAGCACCTCCTGTCCTCAATAATT